CAAATATCATCTCTACTATACTTATGCCAGAATTGAGAGGCCCAGATGCACCAGACAAGCACTAAAGCTAGTACCAGATTTGTAAATAACTCAAAGACCATATCCGCAGTGAATTCCACCTCTTGGAAACGGACCATAACCAAAGGACTTGTCTCAACATTCAAAACATGGAATGCAGGGGTAAAATTGTCCAAGCCAACCTCATGGAATTGTCTCCAAACGAAAGCAGGAACCACCCTTCATATAATCTACTTCACCATTAATTCTGTGAAACTACTAGCATGAATGCAGGGGTAAAATTGTCCAAGCCAGCTTTATGGAATTGTCTCCAAGCGAAAGCATAAAACCACACTTCAAACATCTTATTCACCAATAATTTTGTCTAGCTGCAAGTAATTTCCAAAACGCCAACCACAAGATGTATACTTCACAATGCCCTGTATTTTGGGAAGTTATGAAGCACTGAACCCATAATTGAGATAAGCCCAATAGTAGATAATAGTAGGGGCAAGCCAGATGTCAAGCGAACGAGGAGAACCACGACCTGCATATGAGAAATAGATAGGAGAAAAGAAAAAGAAACACCAAACACACCAAAAAACACACCCCCTTCCCCAGCTTATACTAGGATACTCAGTCACATCACACACACAACAAAAAACCCGAAAGGAGTGCTACAGGTAGCAGCCAAAAACCTAAAATTTGCCTACCCACAAGAAAAAGAAAACACCCACCAAACACACACTAGGCTGTAGCTGGCACGCACCAAGACACCAAGGGACTCACATTGCTATAACCATCCCCAAACACCCCCCTCTTCCCCAGGCGTATACATGAAAGCTTGTGTTAACGGGATCGCAACACCAATTCCTCCATCCAATAGTCTTTTCCCTTAGTCTGGAATTAATCCAGAGATGTGAGAGAGTTTGAATGTTATTTACCAAACCTTCATGAGTGGCTTGATTGTTCGAATGAGCTTTAAGGTTTCTGTGACTCCAAAGTACCCAAATATACACAAGTATAATGACTGACTGAAATTGTGCAAGATTACTAGACACCATTTCACTCTTCCAGAATAATAGGTCAGACAGTGATACCAATTGGTCCGGGAGTAGATGCCACCAATCTTTTAGATTTTTCCAGACTTCAACAGATAATTTACACCTCATGAAAAGGTGTTCTTCTGTTTCTGGTTCTTGGTTACACAAAACGCATAGTTGATTGTTACCAATTCCCCTTTTAAACAAATTCACTCTAGATGGGATTCTGCAGTGAGCAACTCTCCAAGCTAAGATGTTAACTTTTTTAAGGACGAGATTATTCCAATCCCACTCGATAGCAGTTCTAGGTAAGATGGAGCTGTCAATGAGAATTCTTAGGGATGAAACCGAGAATATCCATGAAGACTCTAAATTCCAAGACCATTTAATATGCTGGGATGATCTAGATACTGAAAATAGACCCTTGAAATCTATGTTTTCCTTTGAGAGGATTGTTGGAAGATTTGCAATGTTTCCCCAGCAACAACTTTTCCTTTTTGCCCTCGAAGGAGCATTTAAACCCCTATCTCTTCCGTATATTGCAATAATTACGTTCTTCCATAGATCCTCCCTGTTTTCTTTAAATCGCCACCACCACTTACCAAGTAAGGCAAGGTTGTGTGCTTTAAGACTTCCGATATTCAGTCCGCCATATGATTGTTTCGACAGGACTTTTTCCCAAGCTATCCATGAGATTTTTGATTTTTCTGTCGAACCACCCCAGAAGAAACGCCTCCTCAGTTTCTCTAGGGTGTTAATTACTTTGACTGGAGCCTTGTAGATTGAGAACAAAAAGGTACCAAGACTCCCTAAGACCGATTTGCATAGGGTTAGCCTTCCACCAAAGGAGAGTGTTGAGGCCTTCCATTTTGAAAGTTTGGATTGGAATTTGGTTATAAGGCAGCTCCAATAAGTTGCTCGAGAGATCGCAGCACCCACCGGGATTCCTAAGTAGACAAATGGTAGATGAGCCATAGAACATTGGACATTTCTTGCTAACAATTCAAGCTCCAGATTGTTTACTCCCAGACCAAAGAGGTTGCTTTTTGACATATTGACCTTAAGCCCTGATGCAAGCTCATAACATCTAAGGATTCTAATGAGATTTCTGGCATTTTGACTTGACCACTCACCGAGAAAGACCACATCATCTGCATACTGAAGGTGGGTCAGGGTTAGACCACAATTAGGGAGAGAGATTCCTCTGAAAATGCCCTTGCTCGTGGCTTCTTCCAATGCAACATTAAGTCCTTCGGCCACCAGAATGAATAAAAAGGGTGAGAGTGGGTCCCCTTGACGAATGCCCAGCTATAATGCAAATTCTTTTGTTGCGGACCCGTTTACTAATACTGACACTCTCGCTGAGGATAGACAACCCCAAATCCAGTTCCGCCACTTTTCCCCAAAATTCATCTGCAGCATTATAGCATCCAAATATTTCCAGTTCACACAGTCAAAAGCCTTTTCAAAATCGACTTTGAAAAGAAAGGCCTTGACTTTAGTCTTTTTCGCCCAGGATATGACTTCGTTAAGGATCAGAGGTCCGTCGAGGATGTTTCTATTTTTTATGAAGGCTGTCTGAGTTAAGCTAATGACAGACCCAATAACCTGCTTGAGTCTTTCGGCCAACACCTTCGAAATTATTTTATAAAGACATCCAATTAAGCTTATAGGCCTGTAATCGTTCAGAGTGTTTGGATCAGAGTTTTTTTGGAACCATTACTATGAAAGAGGAGTTGCAGCCTCTATCGATCTTCCCAGTTCTATCAAAGTGTTTTAAGGCCAAAAAAATATCACTTCCAATCATATTCCACTGTTTTTTGATAAAGTCAAAAGTAAAACCATTGGGACCCGGGGCTTTGTCTGCACCGCATTTCCAAACTGCTGACTTCACTTCTTCGAGGGAGATTTCCGCTTCAAGGAAAGACTGATCTAGATTTGATAATTTTTTGAATTTACGGCTGATGAAGTGCGGTCTGTTTTGGTTGTTTTCCTTGAATTTTGACAAGAAGTGATTGAAGACTTCAGCTTTAACCTTTTCGGGATCATCCGTCCAAATGTCATTTATGTTTATGCCTGAAATTCTTTGCTTACGGAAGTTCCTGTTGATTATGCCATGAAAGTATCCCGAATTTTCATCTCCTTCGAGGGCCCATTTGCATCTTGATTTTTGCTTCAAATCTAGCAATCTTTTTGCTTCGAATTATGTTAGTTCCTTTATTAGATATTTTCTTTCCATCATAACAGTTGTAGGGGGGGGGGGGGGGGTTTCTTCCTGAATACTGGGTATGTTTCTTGAGCTTTGACCAATATATTTCAGTTTGTAAATTAAATCAACTAAATTCACGAATCTTGGAACCACACCATTATCTTTTTATTGCATGCCAAAAGGACTAGGGGCTTTGGATTTGAACAAATTAAGGACTAATATCATAAAAGTCTTAAAATTTTAATGTGTAATTGGAAAAATTCCTAACATTTTTTCTTATTATTGCTATGACTATAACTTTCGTGTAAAATTATCATTCTAGCCCACTTAACGAGTTTTATGGTTAACTCTATTATTAGTCATAAAATTAAAGTTAAAGTTCAAATTTGTTCTCTGTGCTTTGCAAAAAACTACCCAACATGGGTTTTTAACTTTATTTTGGTTTTTGTATTCTCTAATATATTAATACATTTTACATTTTTTAATTTTTTTCATATTTTAATTTTTTGCATTTGTTTTCGTATTATTTGTTTTCATTTTTTCATATTTTAAAATTTTTCTTGAACATTTTCAAAAAATGTAAAATGTATTAATATATTAGAGTATATTACAATTTTGGTAATTTATAATTTTTGTATTTTTTTAATTAAGTAAATAAAAAAGTTATATTTATATTTGTAATTACGGTCCAACTTATTTTCTTTTTATTTTTTTGTTTTTTAGTTCTATTATATTTATGTTACAAAAAGACGAAAAAAAACAAACAACTTGTTTATTGAGAATTAATGTTTTAATGTGTGATATAACTTCCAAATTAAATTATATTTCTATATGTTATATCAATAGTTTAAATTCATGATAATATTTTTCAATTTGATAATAGACTAAAAGAAAGATCAATAGAAATAATAATAGTCGGTCTCTATAAAAAAACTTGTTATAATATTTTAAATTGAATGTAAGTTCATTTACTTGAATCAAAATAAATAAAAACATTAGAAAAACTATAAATAATTAAAAGTGAAAAAAAGTAGAAAACAAAATGTAAAAAAGGTAAAAAAAAATCAAATTGTTGAAAAATAAAGTTAAAAAACGAATATATATATATATATATATATATATATATATATATATATATATCACTGTTGTAAAAATCCCGACTAGGTTCCGATTAATCTCCGATTAATCCCTAGGCGCTACTCAACCGATTAGAGGTCGCCTAGCGATTAATCCCTGCATACATAATGAGTGAAACATTATAAAACGATGAAATTTTAACATTTAGAAGAAGTTTTACCTCAATGGAAACTATTTGAGGCATGATTAGTGTTGTATTAATCATATTAACCTATTTTGTTATCATAATAGTGGTATTTACGAACTTTGATATGATATTAGTCATATTTATTTTTTTAAAATTCAACAAATTAGCAATTAATGGTCCCCGATAAACCCCCGATTAATCTCCGCCTAGCCGATTAATCCCTTAATCCCAGTCCACCGACTAGCTAACGTCGAGCGTTTTTTGCAACCTTGATATATATATATATATATATATATATATATATATATATATATATATATATATAAAACAAAAATAAATAAAGTATATAAAAAACGAAAAATAAAATTAAAAAACCATGTGGTGTAATTTTTTGCAAACTACAAGGACAAATTTTGAATTTTAAACCTAATTTTGTGATTGATTTTACAAAAAAGATAACAAAGCTAACAATGAAACTTGTTAAGTGGACTAAAATGATAATTTTGAGAGAAAATTGTGATCATAGCAATAATAAAAAAATGTTTTCCAATTACACGTTAAAAACTTAGAACTTTTATGATATTAATCCAACAAATTAATACCAAATTTGAGTTGACATGAACTAGTATATTTTTATGACTTGATTAAACTAGATGGAATTAGATGCGGGTTTCTTTTTTTTTTTGGTTATTTGAAGATGTATTAAATAAGAAACCATCAGACAGTTTTTCAATGCCTTTAGATGCAATCCTTCACTTGTTACTTGAGAAGTCGATTAAGCAACACCAATGGTCCTTGCTCCAAGTAATTGGATAAATTTTCAAGTAAAGATAAACAGATTAAAACAACCTACTCCTTCCTGATCAATTTTGATATTGGAATCCCAGGTGAGATCCTGTTAAAAAAATCAAAATATTAGGAAATCAAGATATAACAGAAGCACACTAAATCGAAGAGGAGTTGAATCAATTTACTTATCAAAAATGCAATTTGGTCAAGAACAAAAGGGAAATAACACAACATAGTAAAATTACAATCTAAATATTACATTTGATTATCCTGTAAATGAGTTTTGAAAAAAAAAAAAAAAACTTATTGAAAGTAATATACTTTCAAAAATCAAAATTATAACAGAAATACGATGCTATTTGTTGCATATAGCCCTACAGTTATTGTCCTGAAAAATAAGATAAAATAATATGAATGGAATTTGTTTCTTTGAATGCAAGGGTAAAATGATCATTTTGTCTTTTATTACTTTACCAACTATAAAGTCGCTTTACTCATAGCGGACTTCATGGGGAAGAAAAGAATTATTGTTGAGTGTAAAAAAAAACTCTTACCTGTTGTGTTGCAGGTATATTGATATAAAAAGACCGAAAAATATTAGCATGCTGCCGGAGTTTTGATGATTCCCGCAGATTCATGAAGTGAGTGGATGGTTAATATTTTAATATTAAAAATGTAACAAAAAATCAAATGAAACACTTTGCTAAAGATATTTTGGAGTAAATGTATAGTTACCTAATAGTTGAGATATAAAAGTGAGAATAAAGAGGCAGCATTCATTTTAATTTGTCATGGACAAGAAAGAAACGTCATTATTAACAATATGAATTGATACATTTCTGATTTCACTAAGGCATCAAAGATGTGTTTGATGAAAGTATCAAAAATGTATTTTCATGGCTATTTTATCAAACCTTAAATTTGCAACCGCCATCTGCATCTATGGCTTCTGGTTTGATGAAAGGTTGATCGCCATTGATTTTATCGAACGCCCTGATACAATTCAATTACAAACTATAAATAAATATTTTATTAATCATAAGTCTATTTTAGATTTTCTGGCAATTAAATTTTTTTCCTTTTTGAGTAAACAATTTTTTTAAGTGATAAAAAAAACTTTTTTTTGACTATTTGGAATACAAATAGTACACCTAGTAATTTCACATACCAGATTGTCCATCCTCGCCAGGGCTTCGGCTCCTAGAGTCATTGTGTCTTCTATCATACTGCTCCATCTGTTGTCAATAAACCACATATCAACGGTCATGAATTATATAACTATTGTGAGTAAAATTACATATTAAGAGGAACATTTTCAGGTCAAATTTATAGATTGTACGTATATAACCAAGACTATAACCATGCATCCACCACAACAAATTATGTCACATGAAAAACTATTTCTGAAATGAGAAGGAAAACAGAATACATACTATGCAGTATCTCCACCATTGATCCATGCTGGAATACTTCCGTTCAGGGAATTGCCAGTCAAGTACCTAATCATTTCACAAAATCATTATTGGGATTTATAATTATTTTATTTTCCTTTTCAATAATCACTCGGGTATTTATTTCATTAAATATGCAAGGAACAATATAAACTTATCCATATTTTGTTGAACCTACTCTTACGGATGAAATATATATTATATATTGGTATGAATATTGAGGATCAAGTTATCAAGAGAAATATGTATGTAAGAAACTCAGTTGAAGCAAATGATACATGACCAAAAAAAAAAAAAGGTAAAATGCTCATCTTACTTACGTTTTCTCCAGATTTACTTCTTTCAAATTTGGTATATCTACCTCCAAATTGTTGAAACCGAGGTCTCTGTGTGTGATGAAGAGTATATCAGGATGTTTGAACAACCACTAAAGATAATTACAATGAAATGCTCAAGATGATGCTAATGGATATAGTCTAAATTAGGCCTTTCAATCAATCAAGAAATGGAAGAGGGAGAATTATTACAGATGCCTCAGTTTTGACATTTGTGATAAAAAATCTGGAATTCTGGCAGTTGGACTACAGCTTCTGAATATCCTGCAATTTTGCCCAAAGTTGTTGAAGATATAAAAATCCAATCTTCAAATTTATTAACTTTTTAGTAGATTTCTAAATTGTAAAATGACTTACAATAGTTCCATGCCTGTCATGTTGCTTAGGTCTGGAAAGTACTGCGAACTATTTCCATTCAAATAACTGACGCTTCTGCATGCAGATTATTAAAAAAAAAAATCTTACATAAGTACATATTATATGGACACAACATAGAGGAATTGTCATGAAAGGGAAGTATCAAGCTGACAGCCGTGTAAAAATTTTCAAGAGGGAGATGGTTGCAGGTATTGGTCCTTGTAGACCACTGCCTTGGATATCTCTGATCATACAAGATAGAATGTCCAAATCAATGAAAGACAACATTAACGGAAAGTTAAGAATATTAGAAAAGTTTTAATATGAGAGACCTGCGTTAGTTTGTCATTAACTATGCATCCATACAAATTATAAAATAAGTATGACGTTGTTATGAGTGGAAGTGGAGGCTGGAGCAGAGATAAAAGCATACATGAGGAGTTTAACTGTGAAATTATGATTTTTATTTGGAAAAAGGTGGAAGAGGTTCACCCACCCAAACCCAACCTATCCACGTTCCCATTTCCTCTTCGTTCCTTTCTATTTTAGTTATACATCTTTAAATTACTATTCTACCCCTTGCCATCATTTTTACAAATAATACCTACAAATTGGAATGGTCAAATAAATGACGGATAGAACCAAATTTTCATGTATGAGAGATGAATTTAACATGCCCACATAAAACATACAAATAATTCAGTATAATAAGATGGAAACTCAACGTTAGAAGATAATAACCTGATTCGAGATCCGCCGGAGTCAACAGCCCGAATTTTGGATGGTTTCTTTGCAGTGGGTGTGTTCTTGGTAGTGAGAAATGTGAAGCCAAGATCACCAGTGCAGGAGAACTTTTTAGTTGTATCTGAGTAAAAATAGGATGAACCCAAAAGGCTATTTGTTGCCCTTAGTCCAATTGCAATTGTAGAAATCATGTGTGTAGCTTGATTCAACTCGAATGAAATAGTGTCATTTACTCTCAGAACATTGTTTTACAGAAACCATGATATACTTCCTCTTGAACATAAAGTACATGATTGTTGAACAGGTCTTCAGGGTTACTGGTAATTACTTGCTTAAAGTTTCTGAACAGAAGAAAAGAGAAGATTATAATAAAAAGAGAAAATATATAACAGCAATCAAAGTAATCATTAAATTTACTCAAAAAAAAAGGTAGTGATGCTATACAATTCAATCACCGAACTCAAATCCCAAGATCTGGAACCGAGATTGGAACTGTGATACATGTAGAAAAATGCAAGTAATTGAAGAAATGAGGTGGTTTTACCTGAAAGTTGTGTTGGAAGTTGTAACGGAGTTCAACGTCATCATTGGCAGCAACATCTTTGGACTTCCTCTTGCCTAGAACGTCTCTAATTCCAGAAAGGACATGGGAGATTGGCAGAATCGATATTAAGAACTGAAGTTGTTGTACTCCATTTCTTGAAATCAAAGATATCTTGCCCCATAAATCATTCACAATTCTTTTAGAAACTAATATACCCAAGAAAAACCCGTATATGATTTTATAGAATCAAACCTGATCTGCACATCTGCCTGCCTGTTCGGCATTAGATTCATGATCTTCACAAGGTAGAAAGCTTTTGCCAGCGCTCTTTGGGATACAGATATTGGCGACAGACTCCTCACACACGATCAGCAACAACGATAAGAACCCTAATCTCATCATTTCTGCAACTTTTTGGAAAAATTAAACTGAAGTTTCCATCTTTTTTCATCTTTTAGCTTGATCATGGTGATCCCAATTCTGTTCTGATCAAATTACGTTTCCTGATTTAATCCGGTCAAACGCTTTGATCAAAGGTTTCCTTGGTTTCTTGTTAAATTACTGGTTCAATTTACACAGTATCAGTCCATGTTCGTCTTTTGACTTTGAAAATAGAGATGTATGCATGAGAGTATACTGATTACCTTTGCTAATAGATGGAGAACATGGTCGATGAGAATTGAAACTGCGATTAAACTGAAAGTAACAGTAGTCACTGCCCATGTTGGTGTTACTTCAAGCGTTCTGCTTTCATCTTCTGCCATCTTTTCTTGGTCTATCACTCGGGTTTTTCTTGGGTGTCAAAGCAAAGCAAAAAAAAAAAAAAAAAAAAAGAAGCAAATCAATAGGATTTGGAGAAATATCGACATTTGATCAAAAAGATTACCTATGTGGGGTTCCTATGAGTGCTTTGGTGGTGTAGGTTTTTCTGAAATCCCGACGGAGCAAACCCCCTCCGATAACCCCTAACATATTATAAATGGAAAAAAAAAAAAAACACTCGCAAAGCAGAAGTTCCAGCGAGGAAAAGAAGATAATCACCAGCAAAATCGGAAGTTCCAGTGGCCAAAATAAGAAAGGAGAAGACTTCGTTCGATTGGAATGCAACAATGGGGATAGAGCGGAGCAGTTATCAAGTGAAGAAATCCAATAAGCATGAGGAATATATTCGGAGACGCAGTCAATGGCGGTGGATAATCTATTGGAGGAGAAGGGCGGCACAATCAAAAAAGAAAAGATAAGAATCGGAAAACATATGGCGGTGTAGAATGAGAACCAAAAGAACCTGTGTCTAAATAAGGAAGAGAAAGACTTCCGGGAAAAAACTTTACTGCTGCTAAGGCTTTTAGGAATTGATAGTATATATAATGTGTTGAATGACGTTGTAGTTGAAGATGGATCCGTGAAGCAAATCAGGCACATGGAGACTCTTAGAACTAGTTGTATTATTCAAGGGACTCTCGCTCTAAACCTAAATTATGCATATTATGCTTAAAGTTCCTTATATAGAATATAGCTAGAGTATCATTTAATTAGTTTTGTGTTCCTTGTGTGTCTTTGGTCCAGTCAACCGAAGTATAATTTGGTTCATGCATAGAGGCTGGAGCTGCAGGCATTAGGGTCCTAGCTAATGGCATCTTAATTATTAGCAAAATTTGTAGACCTAATTTATTTTTATTTCAATTTTATCAAGTTTGCGAACTTTAGCCAAACAAACAATATATTAGTTTTAGGGAAATTGAGTAATCTACTTTTTAGTAGTTCTAAAAAAAACCACAAAAATTATTTTTGAAAAATGATCACTTGGTCCGGAATATTCCTTTCGGACCCATATTCCAAATATGTAAACAGGTATAGAATCCGACACGGTAATGTGGTCCTTCTACAAATAAAATTTCAAACTCATTTTCATTTCAGACTTCATTTTGAACTCACCTTCATTCCAGACAACATTTCGGACAACATCAAAATCCAAACAATATTTTCTTTTAGCAATGATGAGATTCAGTTTTTGTACGTATGTATCGATTATTTTTATAATCATATGTTTTTATTTATAATTAATGTAACATCCCGACTCCCATGTATAAATTTAAATGTTTATTATATTCATATTGATAGGGCAACTCGACGAGTTGGAGGCCCCAACTCGTCGAGTAGAGACTGAGATTGGCCGCATGATTTTAGAACCAACCCGACGAGTTGGTGGACTCAACTTGACGAATTGGAGCTGAGTGAGAAAACCCTAATTGTTAGGGTTTGCACCCTATTTAAAGGACCTTAAGTCCTTTACCCCGTCTCCCTCATCGCCTTATCACCCAGAGACAAACCCTAATTGAGTTACCTTCCATCTTGAGAGTGTGTTAATGCTAAGAGTGTGTGTTTTGGTGCATTCCTTGAAGAGTGAAGAGCTTGGAACAAGAAGGAGTCTATAGATTCGACATCCATTCAGTTGTAGCAGCCATTTGAAGGTAAAAAGCCATTACCTTGATCGCTTGTTTATTAGATATCTCCATTAGAGAGTTTATTGCTATTTCTAGCTTCTTCTTGAGTCATTATTGGTTTTGAGCATGCTTTGAAGCTAAGACTTCAGATCTGGACACTATTAGGCCCTTTAGGCCTAAAGACTCAAGCTTTATCAAGCTTTGGCTAACCTTCATGCCTTAAACCCCTTGTTGAGCCTTGTTTTGGCAAAGTTAGCCCCTAAATGCCATGCATGGACGTAAAGCTTGCAGATTTACGTGATATCTCATCCCTAGGAGGCTAGATCTAGAGTTTGGGGCCTTAGTCTCGCTTAAAAGCGTCTGAATGAGAGAAAGTGTCACACCCCTGAACCGGAATGGCGGAAACGTCCGGGGGCGAATGACTTCATCTTGTAATATCATAACAAGTGTATATAAATGAAACATAGACAATCATCATCACCATACATAAAATATAACAATATACATGGTTTGCATCATTGTATCCATTCATAAATTACATTCCAAAAATAATAAGTGTATGGTGAAAACAAAAATACAACAAATTCCCAAAAGTCCAAAGCTGCCAACCTGCTTAATGAGTTCCTGAGAATACAAGTTATTTTTGAAAAGTGTCAACATATAAAATGTTGGTGAGTTCATAAGCATGTTTATATGAAAACTTTACGTTGGTTTGAAAACTCCAGAAATTCCGATATTCTTTGTAAAAATAGTTTGAGTTTTGTTTCAAATCTTGTATTATAGCATGTGTACTCTTATTTTATCTTGTTTGAAAAATGTATAGAGAGTGATTTCCAGAAAATCCTATATTTTCTGTGCCATGAGAAATTGTGGTCTTAAACCCAAAGACCGGAGTGAGGTGGACAGTACAAATAATCAACACAGTGTTTATACTTTGCAAAACTGAGTGGTATGTATATTCAGCGTAAAACTTATAATAGTTTTGTTATTCTCTATGTGAGTCGTTATAACCATACTAATATGATGGAGTGCCTGTCTTGACGTTTTTCATGCGTCGGTTTCTGAGAAGACATTTGTCACCCTAGACTGGCCTGTCTAGCTGTAGCGAGCAGCTCAGGTGTGGGGTGTCAACCCCGTATAGATCTATACACAAATTCACGTTCTCCCTCTAAGAGATTCTAGTTATAACTACAAGGCTTACGGTGTACACTATGGTAGGTACGGTGAAGGTGCGTCTCACAAGAGCCTTAACAAAATTTTTACGCGAATGGTGTGTTTCATTATTTTAGCGTTGAAATAATGTTACGAGTGTCTATTTTTGACTATCACTCATAAATAGTAAAAATGTAATCATTTCTATCGAGAGTGTCAGAATAGTTCGTTGTTTCATCGTTGTTATCAAAATTGTCAATTGTTAGCGGTAAGTTCACGAGATGCCCAATTTACATAAAATTGACACTAAGGCCCAATTTACATAAAAGATGTCATATAAGGCCCAATTAGGATAAAAGGACCATACAAGGCCCATTTTGACTTACGTATTCAAAAATGACACTTTAGGCGCAATAATACCGTGAATGTCATTAAAAACCTATTTTTATGAAAAATGACACTTTTCGCCCATAAATACCGAGATTGTCAATAAAAGCCCATTTTTATCAAAAATGACATTTTTGGCCCAATAATACCGAGAATGTCAATAAAAGCCCATTTTTATAAAAAATGACACTTTTGACCCATAAATACCGTGAATGTCCACTAAAACCTACTTTTATGAAAAATGACAAATATGGCCCCTTTTATGATTTCTTTAGTTTTGTTATGAATATTCAAGCTTACTTAGCATCTTTAACCAAACATAAGAAGATATATAATGTAAGTTATTCCAACAACTTCAAGGTTTGGGTAAATCTCGAAATTTTGGAGCTTTTAGCATCATATCACAACATAATAACACATATATTATACCAAACATACACATGCAAGCATACATAACAAGATTTTACACAAAACTAGCTTGTATTTGTTGGATAAGGTGTCTAAGTCCATAACTATTTCTGGTATGCACTTGACCCGGTTTGGCATGGTCCATTTGGGTTGAATGGCATCATGCATTTGGATAGACTAAAAAGAAAGAAATAACACTTATGGTTTATTAATATATTACAAGTTCTAATATATTAATAATATTATTTAATTAGTATTGATCAAGAATTAATTTGGAATTAATTAAGTGATCAGAAGAAGACTAATTAAATATATGGGTTGATTGTGTAAATCATCCATACTTATATAGTGGGCTAAAGCTTCATGGATTATCAAGTTGGGCTAAAACCCATAGGATTCTCCATGGATGCTCCATGGTGGTTATAGAACCCATCGGTCATGGAAATGAAAAGTCATGACAATTAGGGTTTACATGGTGTAACCCTAATTGTAACACACTATATAAGCATCCTTATGTTCACCAAAATCGGCCACTAAGCATACAAGTGAGGGCTAGCCGATTTCTAAGTGTTCTTCATTTCTCTCTAAGTTATTCCAAGTGCATTTGGTGTTGTGTGAGACATTTGAGGCATCACACTTGAGGTGCTAGGCTCACAAGGTTTTCAAGGAATCCAAACTACTACAAGGTATGTATTTACTACTAACTTTTATGTATTAAAAGTTCCCCATGTATGCTAGATAGGTTATGAACCTTGGAAAATCAATTTTGCATGTATCATAGAGAAAACATAGATCCAAGGTTTCTAGGGTTGCATGTACAGCTTGGAGTGTTAAAATGCTCAAAACCCAACAGTGGTATCAGAGACTAGGCTTGTTTGTTTGATACTTGATGCAAAATTGTGAAAAAACTCAGTTTTTCTGCACTCTACAGCATGAACTCGCCGAGTCCATGGGGGGACTCGACAAGTCCATGAGTAAATTCATCCTACTCGTCGAGTAGGTTCATGCACTCGACGAGTTGGAGCCCCTGAATGCAGATTTTCGAGTTTTGCTGCTGGAAATGGACTAGAAACATTACCCTAAACTGTTTTGGTGTTATAAAACTTGTTTTAGATGGTGTAATGGTTATGCTAATCCATTTTCAATGGCTATTATCAAAAATTTCAAGTTTTGTATGGTTTATTTATGATTCTTGAAATTGTTGATATGAACATTCATGAACTTATGAGTTTAGAAGATCATAGGAATTATTTGTAACTTGCTTGTTAGTTTAATTCTTGATCATTATGTGTTTTAATGGAATTCATAATTTTTCCTTAAGTTATGGATTACCAAAAGTCATTCTTTTAAATTCCATTATTAAACACATATGTTACATAAAATGAAAAGTCTCTCATTCTATTAAACCATTAACTCATAAGTTATGAAAGATGAAAAGTTTTGAAAGTTACAAAACTTGCCCTCAAGTTTTGGAACATGTAAAGTTACTTTAAAAACTTTAGTTCCAACCCCTAGAATTTTAAATGTTAAAATTCAACCCTTCTACTTTATAGTATTATAAGTTAATAATATATATATGTATAAGAGTAAGTCATTCTTACGGTTAGTAGACCTTATTCACGAAGCCGGTCTATAAGGGGGGTATAAGGTTGCTGCCTATAAAATGGCAGCTTAATGGGTGTCCACTCTCACCCACCGCTTCCTTGACTGGTGAAGGGTCGTTAGCCGAACGGGTAGGACAAGGACTATAATTCTCATTAAAAGTATAATGATGAATATAAAGTAACTAAACCTTTTATAAATTCCCAATCTTAGTTACTTTAGGAAAATGTGAATAAGGTGCTAACCCATGAAATTGCACTTTGTACTTTGATTAAGTCGTTAGTGGAGCGTGTGTGGTTAACCGACACACTAACCTGGACTTAACAAGGTAGGCAAATGGTAACTTAATGTTTATCATAGTATTGATGGAGCGCGTGTGGTTAACCGGCACATCGATTGAGGGGTAAATATTAAGGGTACCAAGAATAT